CTTCCATACCTCGAGGTTGATGTTCTGAAACTAAACTCACAAATTTTTCCATGGCTTTCATTTTGATCAATACGAAAATTGATTGGAATTTTGCAACTATAGTTTTCACAATTATTAGTTTCTGCTCTGAAAAATCGTTGAAGTTTTCATCTAAAATAACATATCCATAGATCAATTTCTCTCATTTTTTCTAATTTGTTTATTTTTCAAAAATGTTGATTGTAAAGAGAAACTCATTTCTCCTCAAAATATTTTTTTTCGTAGCATATGTTAGACTAGGTATTTATCAATTGAATGAAGTAGATTAAGTGCCTCTTTATGGTTGAGGGTGGATAAAGAACCATTTTAACCGCTGGTATTGATGAATAGGGAAAAACTTTTAGCACATTTATATGTGGGTCCATGAGGAGCATATTCCAAAGTTATTTTGAAATATACAAGGTGACTCCCAAAAAAGTTACATACGAAAGTTATATTTTTTCTTAAGGAACATTATGAATTTTTTTATATTTTTGGATACTATAGACAAAATAAAGGTGAGTTACTATTATATTTTCCATACTTAAAACTGACAGTTTCTGAGAAATTTAAAAATACAGACCATAATTTAAAAATTGTTTTCACCCTGTAACGTGTAACTAACTGCTCGTGATTGAATGTATTGCTCAGCTCAAAGGTTAAGTTAACTATCACATGAAATTTTTAATTCAATATTATTCAGAGTGGCGAAAAAAATTGCCTCAAAATTTGGACACACATTTAATTAAATAACTTCTCAAAGTTGAATGGAACAACCCCGTATTTGGTGGCATAATTTAACGCAAAAGTAGATTTTCTTCAAAACTATATTAGAGTTCTCTATAACTATCTTTTCTGGCTTCTACACGAAACACGTTTTTATATTTTACTTATTATGTATTATTATGAAAAGCAAAATAGCATTCTTGAAGTTATTTTATCAATGCTCAAAATGGTGTCCCTTACTCTCGATGCATAGGCGAACTCTTTCTTGAAATGAGTTCTCATCTCTGGATAACATATTATGCCATATGGAACGAAACGCTCTATTTATTCGTACTTTCATATCCTGAGGTGTCGTTGGCGGTGTATCGGGAACAATACTATTGATATATTCCCATAAGAAGTAGTCGGGAATTGTAGGGTCCGGAGACCTGGCTGGCCAGTTCGGTTGACCTCCCCGTCCTATCTATAATATCCATCTATTTGGATATTGTCGATCTAACTCATTTCTAACACGTCTATCAAAGTGTGCAGGAGCACCTTCTAGCTGCATCCACATCCGTTGACGAATATTAAGAGGTATACTTTCCAACAGCATACGCAAATTATCCCTAATAAATCCAAAAAAACATGACGCCGTTTAAATGATCACCAAAAAAGTAAGGGCCTACTACTTGCGTTCCAATTATTCCACCTCACACATTAACAGACCATCTGTGCTGGTGATCAAGGGTTCTAAAAATATTAGGGTTTTCATCACTGTCATAGTGAAAGTTATAACGATGAGATTGGAACCTTTGGTGTGAAAGTTGAATAACTTTTTTCGAGATCAATTGCTTTAACACCAAACTGATATTTTTGCACTCGACGCGTGTTTTGCCAACAAAGTTAGCATCCTCAGGAGAAGAAAATTGATACCTAGTCTCATGAAGAACAATAAAATTAGCTTTTCTATTTATGAAGACACACGGAATGCAGAGAGATATCTCCAAATATTAAGGACGACGGTAACCGATTTTCTTGACAATTTGCCTTTAAAGGAATATAAGAATTCAATTCAACTGGACGGAGCGCCAGCTCATTCCACCCAGGAAGTTTCCAGGAAAGTTGACAAACTCTTCGATGATCGTTGGTTAAGGCGTTTAGTGCCGTGGGATTGGCCACCGAGATCACCCGATCTCACGTCACTTGACTTTTTTTATGGGGTGTTTCAAAAGAAAGGGTATACAGTATTCCAGTGACCACTAAAGAAGAATTGCGACGGCGAACATTTCCAGCATTTATTGTGTATTATTAGTTATTTTGAATCATCCTATTCGGTTATTGTCTGTACTTTCACATGTTTTAGCCCACACAATCCTACTTTTTACCTAGAAATGACTGATTTTTGGTACAGTTGTTCCCTGGAAACTTTGAGGCATAGTTAAGGAAATTATTTTGTAATTCATTGGTGTTAAATTCATTCATTGGTGTTAATTCAGAATACATTTGGTTGAATTTTTTACACGTTCTGACAATGATTTGATCACTTTGTTCATGTGTATGATAAATAGTTTCATAAGAACTTCGTTTGAATAATCGACATTTGCATTCATTTTGAAAGATGATTCGAAACACCGTCGATAACTCTTTGTAAATTACTTATAAAAGTAACCGAACTGCTATAAGCTTGATAATTTCACTGCGAGCTAAATCAAAATTCTAAAAAAAATAATGTTTCTAGAAGAAGCGACTTTATTGAGAAAATTTGATGATTTAGGTATAGGAACATGATATATCATCTTGAAGCATTTTTCACCATCTTTCAATTTACCGAGTAATATACAGGGGATTTCATTTGAAAAAATGAACTTTTGACTACTTTTATGCATAATGGAAATAATAGTAATTTTAGCACGCCCTGTATGATATGGAGTCGATTTCTTGGTGTTATTTGAATATTTCGCATTGTCCAAACTATCATCAAAATATCAACTTTTCATGAATTGAGAGTACTGATGTACTTAATTTCAATTGAGGCTATGTTTTGGACCAAATTTAGCACAATTTATTTTTTATCTCGAAAACAGATAGAGATAGGTATAGGACATTATCAACAAAAAAGTATCAAAATACCAGAGTGATTCCAAAAATGTATTAATATATGGGTGTTCCATTTGAAAAAATAAAGTTGCTAGGACTTTTTGATGGAAGTGGCAACGCCGCAATGCCGAAAATATTCTAGATCGATAGAACAGATAAGGAAATGTGAGAGGTGAAATTTTCAAAAAAATCATGCTTTGCGTTTTCCAGAAACGTCTAACCTACCATCGACCGTGAGTCACGCTGTATAAAAACGCCATTTGTGTAAAAGGCAAAAGAGATAGGTATGGAGAATCCTAATATAGTTTTAAAGGGAATCTATGTGTGTCCAAATTTTGAGGCAATTTTATTCGGCACTCGGAATAATATTCCATTGGAAATTTCATGTGGTAGTCAAGTTTAACCTTTGAGCTGAGCACTACATTTAATCACGAGCAGCTCGTTACACGTTACAGGGTGAAAACAATTCTTAAATTAACGTATTCCAAAAACACTTTATTGTGAGATTTTCACTAAATTGTTTTACAAAAACGCAACACGTGTTTCGCCATACAATGGCTTCATCTGGCGTGTCTTTCAATTCTTAAATTATGGTCTGTATTTTTAAATTTCTAGAAATCTCTCAAAAACGGTCAGTTTTAAGTATGGGGAATATAATAGTAACTCACCTTCATTTTGTCTATAGTATCTAAAAATATAGGGTGTTACATAAAAAAAATATAACTTTGCTAGGTTTGTAACTTTTTTTGGACTAACCTTGTATATTTCAAAATAATTTTGGAGTATGCTTCTTTTTCCCTAACTCTCTTCATTTCTCGTGAAAATACTGAGGCAAATGTGGTGGGCCACCCTGTATATATGAAAATTTCAATATATATGATGGAAACGGCCGATACTTAATGAAAATCCATAACGTATTCCAAAAACACTTCATTGTGTGATTTTCACTAGACAGTTTTACAAAAACGCAACACGTGTTTCGCCATACAATGGCCATTGTATGGCGAAACAAAGTTTAAAATTATGATTTTAGCGAAAATATCATTACGAAGTTTCAGATGTAGAAAGTTAATACTGGTCAGTCATTGTTAATATTTTAATTTCCTCACTATGAGGTAAACATATGATAAAACAATAATAAACAGGTAGAAAATCTATAAGTAGGTACACAAACATTTTTTACCTGGTTGCAATTTGGCAATAACACATGAATCCAGGGGCGTCCTGAAAGTTAGTTTCTCTTGGTTAGTAAAAGAATTGGTTTTAATGAAAGCGTAATTCCATTTACATGATCACTTAAATGAAATGAATAAATACACTTTTGTCTAAATATCACTGGTAAATTCCATTTATACGACCGGCTTCGGGCTTGACCCTATTATCAAGCATAAAACTGAAGTCTGAATTTTGAAATATCGATTTTACTATCAATGCAGGAACCTTGTTGATTTTTTATGAATATCCGAGAAGATTGTGACTGCCAATAAGAGTCGTTAAATGGGCTAACTATCAGTCTTAAACATTTGAATCATTTAATTTTTTTTGGGAATTTTCAAAATCTTCATTTTGCACTTCTATAACGCGGAAGTCCTGACCTGTAATGTTCAACAAATGCGTCATACTCTATAAAAATTGTGTTTATTCAACTGATAACGAAATAACATGAATATTCATCAATTTCTGGGTCTTGTTCTGTTTCATATTTTTCAATTGAAATAATTAAATGATCCCCAAGGTCAGCATGTAATCAGGGTTTATTTATTAGCTAACGATTCGAAGCAAATTTTCGATTTTCAGTATGGATACGCCTCTGTTCTAGTATCAACTTTTAGATTATTTCAAGGCGATTGTTTAGCATCGGACACGTGAATGTGGTTATAGTTAATAGTGTTTAACAATTATATACGCGGTTGGTCACATATGTTTACTTATGAAAAATAACATCTACAACGAGTACTATATTTAGATGGAAAACAAAAAGAAAAACAAGCACCGACCGGGGATTGAACCCATTTTGCATGGCGGGAGATATTTGCCCGGCTAGGCTGAAACCACGTGGTGAAATCGATAAGTTATTTCGAAGGAGAATTCAACGGACAAGTCAAGGTTCGATCCCTCAGCTATCACAAATGATTAAATGAGTCCGTCACTAATAAATAACAACAAACAAGTATTACCTGGTAGAGTTCTACGAGGAAGAGGGTCAACGAATTGTAGCACTTTCAAACTTTTAACAGCGTCATATTCTATTTCATTTTGACTTAAGTTGCGTCGCTTTATTTCGACTGTGAACGTTGTCACTTGTTGCAGAGACTAAGCGTGCTCACCACAGAGAGTGCACTCTACCACATCTGGGCGCGAGTTGTTTAGCTCAGTGTTGCCAGAAATGTTTTTAGTTATTACCATACAGTCATGTAGACATAACCATTTGTTATCGCACAACCCTCTGTTGTTAAAATTTTTGGCAGGCAATATCAAAATATCTTCCTAGTGAAATAGGACGAAAAATTTACTAGTACAGTCCACGATGATTTTCTCTATGAATGGTTTACAAAACCGCCAGTGTTTTGAACTTGACAATAACAAAATTCAATAACATACGCGGATATTATCCTTCATAAATCTTCCACACATTTATATAAACACAAAGTAGCAGCATTTTCCAGCATGATCCACAGATTAGTGAATGTTCCCTAATATAAAATTTAATGAAAGAAATAGCGATCGAAAATGGTCATGGAAGCAATCTGAAAAGTCATTCACTATCTGAAAAGCTATACAGTTACGCCCACAAAGGAAATTCACTGCCAATAACACTAAGAGACGAGAAAAAATCAATGACCATTCACTTATTTGAAACAACCTAGAATGAAGATCTATAATTGTGTGGACCATGAACTGTACTATCTAAGCTTTATAGATCAGGTGTAAGAGGGGTACCACATGATTTGGTGAGATCTTATCTTATAGGTAGGAGGCATAAAGTGCGAATTGGTCGATGTACAGGCGATGATTGTGATATAAAGCAGGGAGTTCCCCAGGGATCGAATTCAGGCCCCTTTTTCTTCTTGTTATTTGCTAATGATCTAATTACGTTCATCAGTAAAACAAACTCGGTATTCGTTACAAGTTATGCTGACGATACAAATATTTTGATTGTTGAAGACAACATGGAGGCAGTCCATAAAACTGCTGAGGATATTTAAGATGAAATCATATTGTGGGCTGAAAAGAACAATTTGAAATCCAACAAATCTAAAACTACCACCATATTGTTCAGCAGACGTGGTCAAAGAGATTCGAATGTGGTACTATATGAAAATAGTGATGAATCAATTAGTCCTGTAGAAACTGTAAATATGCTAGGAATTCTTCTGGATTGAAAATTATTATGGAATTCACATATTGATACGTTATGTAATGAGCTGAAAAAAAGCTGCTATTCTATTAGATTCATGTCAAATCACTGCAGCTCTAGTATACTCTTAATACTGTACCATGCTAACTCCATTCACACCTTCTATATGGCATTCTCAACTGGGGTATGAGTGCTTCTGTTAAAAGGTTATTTCTCCTCCAGAAATATGCATTGAGAATAATAGCTAAGCTAGGGTATCGTGATTCATGTAGAGATGCTTTTAAACAGCTAAAAATGCTCACAGTTGCCAGTACCTACATACTAGAGGGTAGTGCATACGTTTTCAAAGATAAATCCAATTTTCAGTCCTCTCTTCCAAATCATAACCACAAAACTCGTTCGAAAGATCTAATCGTACCAAACGCTCATAGAACTTCTTTGTATGAAAAAAGCGTAGAGTACTGTGCGTGTAAATTATACAATATGCTTCCAATAGCTCTTAAGAATTCCCCAAATATTAATGTGTTCAAAAGTCAGCTGAAAACAAATGCTACTTCAAAGGACTTGTTACATCATTCAAAAATTCACCAACCAACTGAACTGAGATCTTAAGCTTTAGCACATTTGGTTAAAGTGTTCACTTTCAATACTTGAGAAATACTTGAGAAATTGTGTGTTGATTATATTTTAGTGGCTTTTTCATAGTCTATAACTAGTTACATTTATATTTTCATATTCATATGTTACTTTTATTACTTATGGATGTTTATCACGGTTTGTGTTATTCTGTTGTTTATATCATTTTGACTGACTTATAATATGATTACATATTATTTCGACTGACTTTTGTACATGACATACATTACATGTAGTTATTTACATTCATATGTTTTTACATCTACTTTTATTTTTATAATTGAAATTTTCTTTGTTTATTGTGAATTGATTTCTGTCAACTGTAATTTATTATTATTATTTAAAAAATAACAGATGTTACAATATGGTACAAGATAGATCAGGTGATTGTGAGCGGACGTGAGGTTCATGTCGGATATGTTTTACATAGGTCAAACTGGATAAAAAATAGAAACAGAATCCGGAATGGAACATTTACAAAACCGCAATACATCCACACATCCCTATCAGTATGAAGTATAAAGTATGCTTCACATACTATTCTTAGAGAAAACTTAGTTTCAACAAAATCATTGCTGACAACAACGGTTACAAGCTAGATATTATTGACTCAATTTTTTCGAAAAATCAATCAAACAAGCCTTCACTATATTTATCTATTCAACATTGACATACTTTAGTGAAAAAACTAATGATATCGTTTGTTTTTGAAAAAAAATGGACGCCTAACGCCATCGAATAATAACTTGAGCCGATTCATATTTAAAACAATATCGGCAATAAATCCGGAGTGAATCTGAGTTGACTTATGGTTCTTTCCTTGAACTTCATACCAGCCAAACAGGGAGAATATTTTTCTATAGAATAAAAGAAGACACCAATTACCCCTATGACGTCTTACATTCAAAAGAGAATGGTTTGAAATTTAATTCATTGGAGTGCTTAAAAATCAATAGGTATAGGCAAATGGGCAAATAGAATTGGATACTGAATGGTTCTATTTTCTGTGTAAATTGGCAATCAGTTGATATACGTCCATGTCCATATACATTGGTTTGTGAAGTTCTTTACCCAATATTTAAATGTTTGCCTGTTTAATACCTCTAATCAGGTGAAATGATCAGTCATTGAGTGGGTAGAAGGCAAACGATTCGCATTGTTAATTCATATGTAGCTCTAGTCAGCTGCATAGTAAGAACATACCTGAGAAAGATATCGTATGATGAAAAACGTGTTACAGAGGTCATTTAAAACTCTTCATTTCAAGAAGGAAAATTTACAGCTCTACCTTTTCAACCTACTCTTTGCTGAATCTGGTTTATAACAAAAATTAGTCCTTCTAGAATGTTGAATTTATAATAATCAGTAATTCATTGACCTCTTTTTCCCTGATTTCACTAGTGAATTGATGTAGTTGGGCCTAGCCTAGTGTTAATTATCTGAATCAACGTAGGTAGAATAAAAAATATAATAATTCAAGAGTAATTCATCAATTGGTGAGTTTTGATAAGAATTTCATCAAGCATCAATGAGTTTCTTTCAATCAGTATAAAAAAACTTCTCCTATGATGGATAAAAAATATTGGTAGATAAGATACTTCTGTCATCAAGTGAAATCATAATACTTTCAATTCGAGGCTACTATCAGAAACTGATAATCACAATTAATGAGCAAATTGTGTTCCCAGAACAGACGAAACATGGTGAATAGTAAAATCTATACATATTCTTCATGTTTTCTACTTTATCACTCAAAATTTCATCATCAACCTGAATCAATTCGAACAATTTTCAAAAGTACGGTCCTGTTCCAAAAACAAAATTGATGGAGTTTGTGTTGTGATGAGATGACGGAAAAAATGCAATGTAAGCCCACGAGATGGCTCAGTTTTCTGAAGATCCAAAATAGACAAGTCAAAGGGGAAAAGTAGAATAAGCACTATTTTGTCTCGTAGATTCGAACATAATATATTGTATATGTAACTCATCAAAGGGTTAAGTGATCGGTTGGAGTTCCACTCATGAGACTCCTATTCTGATATGCGTTCTATTCTTTCTCTGAGCCTGCCCCCGAACGCCATAAGTATAATAATAATAATAATAATAATGTTTATTTCATAAGATTGAATACATTTACATATAAACCAAAAAAAATGCAGAAATAAACATGGCAAGCCACTGAAGCTCATAGAGCTTGTGTATGACAAAAAATGAAGAAATTAAAATGAAACAATAAATTTAGTTGACACGTTTTGTGTGTGATGTCAATTGAAAGGGAAAAATAAATAAAGATATCATGAACATGACTCAGTGAACAAACATTACAAACTAAACTATCGATCATAACATTCATCATTCATACACCATATACGTATAGCAAATGAAAGTCATATATCTTATATTTCATTCACTGTTCTGTTCTTAATATGGTCCTTGTTCACTGCACTTCTGTAGAGTCGCTGTCTATTCTATAAGGTAAGTCCTTGTTCAGAAAGATTGCGACAGTACAGAATATGGTGAACAATAATGACAGATGTGGATTAGAACATATGAATAAAAGTTCAAATATAAGTATGAAGCTGGTGTATATCATGAATTGTGAAATTATTTCCATTAATACTTTGAATATTTACATTATTTTATGTGAGAACATGTGATTTTTCTTTCTGTATCACTACTTCATTTTTTTTCGTTCCAATATTTCATTTATCTTACCTATTGTTATATTCGTTAGCCATAATTTCAGTTCTTTTTTAAATCTGTTATCACTTGTAATAGACTTAATTTCGAATGGAACTTCTACATAGGCAATAGGGCACAAGTATGTGAGAAATCTTTGACTTCGAGATGTACTTACTTTAGGAATTCTTGAGGTTTTGTGCTTGAATCTGGTATCGTGCAAGTGATCCACAGACAATAATTTTGTTTCATATTTCCTATGATACATAGCGAGACTTTGAAAATATAGATGTCTACATGTAAAAAATTTCGATTCTGCGAAAAGTATTTCAGACGGATAGGTATAATCTCTATTGAAAATAATTTTAATGAGAAATTTTTGAGTGACATTTATAACCCTGAGATGATTATCAGTAATACCTCCCCACACAATTATTTCATAGTTGATATGGGACTGTACTAGACTGAAATATAATGTTCGTAGCTGTGCTATGTCAAAAATCTTTTTGAAAAACTTAAATTTGTTCAGTAGAAACCTTATTTTATTCGCAACATATTCTGCGTGCTTACTCCATTTTACATTTTTATCTATTATTATGCCAAGATATTTTATATGTTCTTTCATATTTATAGTCATTGTGTCATTGTCATTATCGATT